GCGGACTGAGACGTTCCTGTCCTAAAGGACCTTGTTGTCCAGGTGTCCTCTGCAGCAGACTGAGCCGTTCCTGTCCTAAAGGACCTTGTTGTTGTTGTCCTTAGTGCACTCCGGAGCAGATCAGTGGAGACCTTCACAGTGAGCTGATGTACCAGCTGGAACATGACCAGAACCTGCAGACGGTCAGTGTTGAATTTAAATTACTGTCTCAGTCCGGTTTTTGAGTCTGGACCGGATGTTAAAACAGAACCGATGTGGATCAGATCCTGTCAGAAAGAGATCAGCTGCCCGTCAAGCAGTTCCAGGAGGAGATCATGGACGCCATCGACCACAATCCTGTGGTGATCATCAGAGGAGCCACGGGCTGCGGGAAGACCACGCAGGTCCCTCAGTACATCCTGGACCGCTTCATCAAGGGGGGCCGAGCGTCCGACTGCAACATCGTGGTTACTCAGGTAAGGCTCTGACGAGCTCTGTCTGGTCCAAACAAGATGAGCTGGAACCAGAACTTTGATCTTGTTATATATAAAGTAAAGAAAGGAACCTGACCCTCTGTGGTTCTCCCTGCAGCCCAGACGGATCAGCGCCGTCTCTGTGGCCGAGCGGGTCGCCTACGAGAGAGGAGAGGATGTTGGGAAAAGCTGCGGCTACAGCGTTCGATTCGAGTCCATCTTGCCTCGACCGCACGCCAGCATCCTGTTCTGCACCGTCGGTACGTAAACCATCCAACAGTCAGAACCTGCTGCAGAACCCATCAGCCCCGGGCTGCTGGTCTGTGTTGTGTAGGGATGGATCGATACTTTTATAAGTACCGACTGAATTCTGTCAGTACTACAGAGTACCTGTTCACGCAACATCGAATGGTACCATGTTTTGGTTTTGTTGAGTACCGGTACCGATTCCCAGGTACCGGATATTGGTACCGAATCCATTCAAATGTCAAAGATAACCATGAATAGTGTTGTGTTTTAAACTTTACTGAGATGATGAAGCGTTGCCGGGCCGTTGCAGAGGTCTTACATGGCCGTTTGCAGAGGTCTTACATGGCCGTTTGCAGAGGTCTTACA